ATGCTACTCCAAATAACAGTTTTAGTCTGGTTATAATATAATGTGGCATGCAAGTAGACTACACTAAGAACACAGTCTTTGCGCTTAACTTTTTGACTACAAGCCCGTAGGGCAAGTGAAAGTATAAAATTTGGTAGCCCAAACGAAATTTTACTAGCCCTACTCAAGAGTAATAACAAATGATGTTTTAAAAAGTGCAGTCACATTTGCATTTCTGATTTAATTCAATTTGATCACTAAACGTTCAAAAACACTTTGAGTAATCATCATGATCATGGTAATTGTTTAAAACACTTTGCTGCATCAGTCAACAGTGTGACATAAACACATCTTTAAATAAATTAAAAATACTTACTGCAAGATTATGAAAATTGAACTATGTATCTAGGTTTTAGAACAGTCGATATCATATATTTATTACTCTTTTATTTATTTATAAGAAAATAAGGGGTATTTCGGTGATTCCTAGGGGCATTTCGGTGATTCGTAGTATCGGTGTATTAAGTCGATGGTCAGATTTCCAGCCAATTTTGCTGACGCTTTGATTCTACGTACTTCATTTTGTGAAACAACTTTTATTTCTTCTGAAAGAGCCCTCCTGTTCGTGAATCACTGACCTGGGATAGCCCCTTCTTGATATTTTATAAAAGGAATCATAGTTAAAATTTGCCATCGGAAATTTACTAACTAGCCCATCGGGCATGCGCGTTAATAATTTTTGGTAGCCCGATCCCGATTTTACTAGCCTCGGTCATCGGGCTACCGCTTAATTTCGAAGACTGAGAACATAAAGAGACTTAATCAAGGATCAGTATTCTATTTATTGTCGTTGAAAAGATTCAATTTCTAACTGCTTAAGAGTCATTCTCTGTAAAAATCAAAGAATCCAAGGAGGCGGTAAAAACGAATGTCTCCGAAATACGTAATTTTTTGTATTTAGAGTGTACTCAGGTGTCTAACTGAGAAAACCACCTTAGTTCATGTTTCGGGGTGTCCGTTGCCATGGCAACCGTAACTAACACAAATATGGCCATTTTGACAGGTTCTATTTCATGAAATATAGCATTTTTAACCCCCATATTTCCTTTAAACACGAAAAATATGACCACTTTCAATTATATAATTTATTTTATGCATTCTTATATAATTAAAATAATTAAGAATTAAATCTTTTGCCTGAGGCGTTTCAAGCTGATAGAAGGCTAAAAATATCAAATTTCATGATTTTTTCAAAATGCAGAAAAATCTATTTTACCCTCTATTTCAATTACATTTATCTTTAAATTCCAAGATAGGTTTTTTAAACTTCTTGTTTATTCCAAATATCTATACTATAGTCTTCCATTTCATATAGATTCCAAACATGTGTTTTTCAGATAACTCGGGAAATATCAAATTGAAAATAACCCATAATCCCGAATTTCCTCAGATATGGATTGGAAAACTGCGTTATACATTGTATATGGTATATTTTGTAGAGTTTGTTTTTCTCTTTTGAGGACATTGTTTATGTAAAACAACCTTAATAGAGAATTAAATGATAAAAATGAATGAAAATGTATCATTTTAGGGGCGGATAGCAACATAGCAGTGGTTCATGGGATTTTTTTTCATTTCATGTTTTTATCGGTTCAAAATCACTTTTGTGGCTAAATTTTAACAATACTGATGTATTTAAGGAATCACTGTCTAGTTTTGAGGGTATGCAAGGGCATTTTCGCCCGTTATGCTAAAATTATCCCATGTTTCCCACTATTGTTGATGTCCCTGGCATACCCTCAAAACTAGACAGTGATTCCTTATATTTCCATTTTTACTTGAAATAACCATCATAAAATAAATGGAAATACCGTCTAATTGAGTAGATTTGATATGCACAAGGCCCCATGACGTCAAATTTTACTATAAAACATAGTCCCCCCAAAAAACGAAACAAATTTATTGACTATTTATATTTACCGTAGTCAAATATCAACATTTATAAAATAAACATTAAAAGAATTTTAAATGATGATCAAAGTAATCTTGTTGACTTTAATTATATATGTGACCTAGATTTAGGTTGTCTGAAGCACGAACATATATAGGCACTATGTCACTTCTCCGCCGCCATATTGAATACAATGTTGCTGAAACGGGAGCTGGTCAGCATGGTCAGGAAACCTATTTGTATGGATGTTATGATAACAGAAGAAGTTGAGGTGCTTAAGAAGTCGGATGGTAATGACTAAGGGACGATGTCTGTATCAGGTGATGGAGTACGTGCAGATCCATGTGGCAATGTCAATTTCTCCACGTGGCTGTTACGGAAGTGGTGTTCTCGGACTCGCGAGACCTCGGTCATAGTGGACAGCGTTGCACAAGTGACTTGCTTTCAAGCCGAAGATAATTCATGATTTATTTTGTTTGTTAAAAAAAATATATCTTATCAAATTACTTAGTAAACAATTAAAACATCTTTTTTTTTCTTGAGTATATTTATACGCCAGTGGTATACATGCAGGTTGACACCTGACCTTTCAGTAATAGAGAAATATACATATCACAGGGTATTATCATGAAATAAACAACAAACACTTTTGTAGTGTTTATCATAGAGAAAACAATTGGAAATGGAAATATATATTGATCATGCTACATGTACTAATCAATTCTTAAAATGAAATGTAGATATATTTAAGATATAAAAGTAATACACAGATACTTCATTTTACCCCCCCCCCCTTTTTTTATGGGGAAAAGGCTGGGGATAAATGACACCTGTTCTATGACTCAAACTTTATCTTCTTCAGCTATTAAACGTATTTGTTACAAATTTAGCTGGAAAAAAAAGAGTCGATGAAAAGTTAACTTATTAACTCTATCACAATGTAAGGCCAAGGTCAAGAGTTCAAAGTTAACTGAAGAATATATACATGTAGTATAATTGCTTCTCCACATTTTCAGGAATTGACTGGATGACCTTCAGTCAGGATTTCTGATTACAGAAACAGAATGCTGTAAAGTACAACATGTTTAATCCAAAATGGTTTAAATGGACTAAATAAACAATTGATAACTGAAAATAAATCTGAAAATTAAAAGATTACTTTTTAATATTAATTTTTCAAAAAAAAAATATAAAAGATTATGGTGTGCAGAAAAAGTTTGGGCTAATTATTTTTTTTTAAATGACTTTTTCAATTATCAATTTATATTAAAGCTCAAACATTATTTCACATACTTGTAATTGATTGATACACAATGAAGAATTCCAAAAATATGTATGTATACTGTTGAACACAAACCATTCACAGCAACATATCTAAAGAATTTGATTATTGAGCCCATCAAATTATAATACCAGCAGAATAAGGACAACAAAAGTAAAATGAGGCCATACATGTAAGTAATAAGAGTTCCTGTCATTCAGATTTTCAACTTGATTGCAGGCTCGTAAGAGGCAATTTCAGTTGGAAGGGGGGGGGGGGGGTGCACAACCATACATTCTCAGTGAAAACTACCAAAAATTTCTAGAAAGCAAAATAAGGACAAAGGGTCATTAGACATATTTTCTGAGGGGGCACAAGCATAGAGTAGCTATGTTTATTATAGAATTCTATATATAAGCAAAATATTAGGGGGGGGGGGGGCAAATGTTGGTCATATTATGAAAAATAATTATATATTTTCTATGAAATACCCAAGAGCCATTAACAGGAATAGTAGGGCAATGACATACTTAAGTGAATAATTACATAGATGTACAATAGGTGGTTTTTCACTTTTATCAGTTAATATTTTTGTCATCCAAATAAACGTTATCCTTAAGTCTTGAAAATAATAATAGACACTTTTGACATAGATTTCTTTAATTTTTTTGTCAATTTTATAAAAATTCAATAATTGTAACAAAGGATGGAATTATCATTTTACATGCAATGAGACTACTGTTTATACACTTTTTATCTTTATTTAAGAATGTACATTATTAAATTCTTTTTTCTAAATTATTTGAAGCATATTCATAGTAGTGCATAGTGGACCCATGTTAAGACCGCGGAACATTAATTGGCAAAATTGGAAATATACAGCTTACGTCATTTCTATCTGTTACAATCAAAACATTCAGTGATAGACAGCGTAATAGGCGGGTACAAGTCGACGCTGACGTTTGGAAAATATCGGATTGAAATGGCAGATCGAAATTCATTTTCAATCCACCTAAGCTACGCTACAAGTCGACGCAGACGTTTGGAAAACATCGGATTGAAATTGCAGATCGAAATTCATTTTCAATCCACCTCAACTACGCTAGAAGCCACAGTGTTACTGACTTACCCAGAAGACAAATAATTTCAAATTCGGTACAATTTGAATTTTTTGTCCAGTGTTTAAAAAAAATATTAAGGGACAAATATTTCATTTCTGCTTGGTAAATATGCGTTTGGTTTAGGGGAGGGGGCTTAACAATTATAAGTAAAGTTGTCCAACATTTTTCAGTGAGAATAAGTTTAAAACTCAACAACTCTAATAATCCTAGAAATAACATCTGTTGTCATGTAAACATAACATGTAAGTCATGACCTGACTCGACAATTTTTACCCCCCCCCCCCCCCCCCAGCTTAGAATCAAATATCTCCTGAAAAATAATCTTTGTCTTCTATCATCTTTCGCGTCCCTAAAATTTTAAGCTAAAACTCATATTGATATTAACTCCGATCAATATGTATTCGGGAGTTGAAATTAGTTGATTTTTGGATCATGTATATATTCACATCTTATCTTTGAAAACAGTTCAGGTGGATTAAAAATGAATTTCGATCTGCAATTTCAATCCAATGTTCTCTAAATGTCCGAGTCGAATTGTACCCGCCCATTATGCTGCCTATCACTGAATGTTTTGATTGTAACAGATAGATCTGACGTAAGCTGTATATTTCCAATTTTGCCAGTTAATGTTCCGCGGTCTTATTATGCATGAATAACTTTGGGATAAGTGGTCAAAACTTCCCTCAGGTATAATACTAGGCAGGACTAGGATTTTCTTCAGATACTGTAAGACTTCACTATTTCTTTGATGTTCTTTGGGAGAATAACAGCAATGTTTGTCATTATATTGTTGTAGTATAATATAGCAGGCTTAGTGAAGGTGTCTCGACAGTATCTCCCATTCTCTGAAAACTCTCACTAATTTTCATCAGATACTCATTCATTTGCTGAATGTCATGACTGGTCATGACTAAATGTAAAACTCTGGCTTCTTGAGTTCTGTAATAGACAATACAAGTATTTAGATTTACCAGGTAGATAATACAAGACTTAAGTTAACCAGAAATCTCTGTCAAGACTGTAGCTTTACTGGTTTGTACTTATAATAAAGAAAGAGAAAACTAGCAGTTGGGACATTTACAAAAGCAATCAATAGAATAATGACAAAAACAGATACACAAAATTATTTATCTTATTGTAGTTTACTTGTGTGAGGCCCTATGTTCCACCTGGAACCAAAAGGAACCATGATGAGTTTACTTGTGTGCCAAGTTATATTGAAATCAGACCAAAACTGTAGGAGGAGTAGTATTTTGAAAAACTATTTAAAGACGGACATACAGACAGACAAACAGATGACGGACACATTACTATCGCATAAGCTCATCTGGTCTTTGACCAGTAGAGCTAAAAATGATTAAAGGAACCAATTGGATCATGAAAACAGTTACACTTGTACATGTAATAGGTCATACGTCCTCTCTACACCAGTGTAAAATGATTTTTGGACTTTGCGAAAATTATATTGAATAAAGATGTAAATAATAAGCTTCTTTATTTCATTTTCAATACATAATACATGGCATTTAACCCCAGGAAAAAAATGTTCAAACACAACACAGTATCAGTAGAAATAATTGCTATTTACTTCTATGGAGAAGATACATGTAAACAACATGTTTATAATTTAGAATTTAAACTATCTTGCCCTTTTAAAATGTTAAGAATACTTGATTTGATGATAAACTGAGTAATACAGTGTAAATTTAAATCTAAGAGCAGATAAATAGAACAGAATCGTAACTCTTTAGTGTTCAGTGTAGAGAGGTTTCTTAAAGACAAGAGGCCCATGGGCCTTATAGGTCACCTGAGCATTATGCAACAACTTTCCAGTTAGAGTGTATTGAATTTGATTCATGTTTTAAGCCAGATGCTATATGGCATTCATAATTTTGAAAGACGCACCATTGATCATCATAACAATACACTTAACAGTTGCTTAGCTTGGTAACTGAATACCCATACGCAGGGTAGGGGGAACAAATAGGCACTCCAAGTAATCAGTAATATTCAGCAATAATCAGTAGTGCCCCTTACACGGTGACATAAACCCCTGACCCTAGGTCCAAACATTGCACAAATTTTTAAAAGGCACCCTTAAAATTGCCAATCAAAAAAATAAATAAATGTTTTATAAATACAAAGGAGCAGATTTCAAACAATAAATTCATTTTCAGTATATAAGCAGAGCCCCCCCCCCCCCCCTATCCAACCCCTGACCCTGGGGCCTTAAAATACACAATTCTGCAAGATTAAGGCCCTTGCTCATCATAACTATTTAGGTAGTTCATCTACTTCATACCCAGAAACAGAGAAGAAAATTTAATTAATTTTCACTATATAATCAATAGAACCCCGGCCTTACACCAGAACCCTTGACCCTGTGACCATAAATTTCACAATTTTTGTTGAGGCACTCTTGCTCATCATTACTATGCACTTAGTAAGTTTATTTAATACCTAGGAGCAGAGAAGACGATTTTCAAAGAATTCATGTATTTTCACCATATAATCAATAGAGCCCCCCCCCCCCACCCCCCCCCCTCCACCCCCGAACACCAGAACCCTTGACCCTGGGGCCATAAAATTCACAATTTTGGTAGAGGCACTCTTGCTCATTATAACTATGCACTTAGTTAGTTTAATACCTAGGAGCAGAGAAGAAGATTTTCAAAGAATTCATGTATTTTCACTATATAATCAATAGAGCCTCCCCCCTTCTAGAACCCTTGACCCTGGGGCCATAAAATTCACAATTTTGGTAGAGGCACTCTTGCTCATCATAACTATGTACTTAGTTGGTTTATCTTATACACAGGAGCAGAGAAGAAGATTTTCAAAGAAATAATGCATTTTCACTACCTACTTATTTAGCCCCGCCCTAGCACTAGAACCCCTGACCCCAGGGCCATCAATTTCACAATTTTGGTAGAGGACTCAATGCTGATTACAATCATGCAAATAGTTTGACTGCTTGATGTCCAGGAGTAAAGAAGAAGATTTTTAAAGATTGCATTATTTTTAGTGGTTTTGGCCCCACCCCTCAGGCCCCAGGGGGGCAGGGATCATGAAATTCACAATTTTTGTTCCCCTTTACCCATAGATGCTTTATGCCAAATTTGGTTGAAATTGGTTAAGTGGTTGCAGAGAAGAAGCTGAAAATGTTCAAATTTTAACACACGATGCACGACGACGGACGAAAACGTATAGCAATAGTTCACCTGAGTTTACTCAGGTGACCTAAAAATGGTAGAAACTGTTGTCAAATTTTTTGAAATTAACAACTTGGGTCATGTTTTAATGAATAAAATGAATAAGTTTTACAGTGTAGTTTTTTTTTTAAATTTCTTTTTCAAAGTTGCACAAAAATTGAATTTGAAGTAAAAAATATTTGTATAGAATAATTAGGATGATTTTAGATGGGTAGAAATGAACGTTTAGATGCCTTGAAAAGTGGGTCAATAATAGTAGTTAATGTATATATGGAACATGAAAGCTGTATCCTCTATCCTTCAAAATTTATTACCAATGTCTAAAGATATAGAAGTCAAGGCTATTGGGTCAAAATTATAGTACATGGACAATATACCTCTTTGTAATTTGGTTTTAATAAGGTGTTGAAGGCTCCATGAATGATCTAGATATCTTCTCCTTCCTTGTGATGCCCCTCACTTGGTCACACAGCAGCATGCTACAATAAATTGTATATTTTCATAAAAATAATTCAATTCCTTACAGGTAATAATTAACTTTTTATTTAGTTGTGTATGTTGACAGGTCTAAAATAAATAACTGTGTACAATAATTCAAATTGGAGAAACTTTTTAATTAATATCTTGTTAAACTTTAAATGCATACATCATTATAGAGTATTCAAGATGAACAAGGAAAATGAAATTTACAAGGTCAATTCCAAAGATTATTTCTTATTCTACCCACATAGCTATTAATAGCTACAATGTACATGTATGTAGATTAAACCTACCCAAAGTAGCTATTTTACCCACTTCTAAGACCTACATATGTAGATAGAAATGCTTTAATTAGTACAGTCTTTGGACTGTACCTTTTTACATTCATTTCGATTGTTTTTTCAATAATTTAATCTACTCATAACTCTACGAACAAATATTATTATATTGTGTATCAGAAATTGTAGTTACTTACGTGTACATGCATGGTGTATAACACTGGTAGCGTTGCACCAGCTTGACCAATCAAATGACATGCTTTCAAATTTTCACATGTTCTGTTTGGAGGGGAATTCTTGGTCCATCTCCTCTGGTGTTTTCAATATGCAGGTGTGAACTTAGAAGATTTGGAATTTGACAAAGCTTCCTTCTTCACCTCTTTGTATTTTTTTTTTAAGAAAAGTTAAAATAAGGCCAACATTTTTTTATTAAATGGTTTACGGGAATTTTTTTGAAAAATTGGGTCGGGGGGGGGGGGGATAAATAAAAATAAAAATAAAATTCCATAATCTATGCAGTCGACTAAAAAAATAAAAATAAAATTGAAAAAAGTGTGTGATTTTTTTATTTTTAATAATTCGATAAAAATTGCCATTTATATGGTGTAAAGCTTGAAATATGATAACAACAACACAAATATTAAAGTACACTACTAAACCCTTAATTGGGAGAAATGGGGGAATCTAAGGATTTCCTTATAAAAATACTCATTATGACAACAAGATGACCAAAGAAAAAAGATTGCAAAAAATGAGAACTTCACTATGTTCAAATTAACTAACAAATGAAAAATGGGAAATATTGTTATAATGAGAATCCAAATAAAACCCAGCATCATAATTTTAATCTGTATTTCACAATACAGCATATGTTTTATGCATGTACATGTAATAAAATTTTGAAAGTTTGATAAAGTTGAAAGTATAGACAAATTTGAAAACCGTATCGTTTGCAGTATTTATATATCTATTCTAAAACTGTTTAACAACACACCAAAATACTTCATACAAATTTCCAGTCTGTATTCACGTGTATGATCTTTTTTGAAAATGTTACACACATTTGAAAACGTTTCATGGATATACATGCAGATACGTCACATTTTATTCTTCACAAAAATTCGAACGTCTATTTTCGATTTCCATTCACGTATCAAATCCATCAAAGGTATCAAAATTGTAAAAGAGAACTACTGTACTGTATACGGTACCCCACATCGAAAGTGACAGTCATGTCAACATATCCTCTAGTCATTTCTTTAATTTCGTTATAACTCCAACTGAACTTCGTCATTGGATGTACTCTTATTGATTTTCCTGTTCGCTATGGATGACTTGCAAAAACGATCGTGAACTATCGTGTATAAGGACGACGTATTCTCAACTTCTGTAAAATTTGACATTTCTGCGTCCATGTTGGCACGTTTTATGCACTTCCGAAACAGTTGATAAGAAACGTATATTGATTGGATGATAAGAAAGGTTCTCAATCCAACAGCCAATCAGAATTGCCGACTTATTTGCACATAATTTTATTCTTTTGGTGCACTTGCATTGACAATTGGCGGGAAATTTAAAAATAAAATCAACAACAGGGACTTTTATTATGTTCCCCAAACGAAGTTGGGGAACATATTGTTTTTACTTTGTTTCTTATTATTATTATTATTTTTCTTCTCGGGAAAATTTTGTCCGCGAATGATCTTGTATAGTACACATCCGATTAAGGGGAAACCTTTTTAGGGTAAGTAGGCATGTTATGTAGATTTGCGGAACGAAGGTCATTTTGCGCGCACGTGCTTGCAAGAGCGCGCACGTGCAACACGTGAAATGACCAATATACTTGAAATAGCCGTAACTTTTACATTTTTCGATGTAATGCTTTGATATTTAGAATATGTAGACATATTATAAATGTAGATAAGATGACATTGTCAACATGCCATTTTGTGTGCACGTGCTTGCAAGAGCGCGCACGAGCAACACGTGAAATGACCGATTTAATTGATATAGACGTAAATCTTTACTGTTTTGATGAAATGCTTTAAAACTCATAATATAAGGATAAAGTAGTAGCATAGACAATATGACATGGTCAAAATAACAAGATCTCACGCGCATGCACGTGCACTTCGCTCTGATTGGCTGAAACTAAAGTCTCAATATCTTTCTTGGTTTTTGATGAAATCCTTTGAAATTTTTACCATAGCCATGCATTAGGATATCCTTCAACATGATATATAGCAATTATCAAAAAAACACGTGCATGCACGTGTACTGCAAACTGATTGGCTGAAACTTTAAATAGTTGTAACTCCCTTGGTTTTCAACCAAACAGGATGGGATTTGGAACATAGATAGATATAAATTCAACAAAAAGGTATGGTCATCATACACATCCATACACTTGCGTGTACATGCGCTGCAATCTGATTGGCTGAAACTTTAAATAGCTATAACCCCCTTAGTTTTCAACCAAACAGGATGAGATTTGGAACATAGAGAGATATAATGGACTTCTACAAGAAGGTATGATTACCATGCACAACCAAACACGTGCCTGAACGTACACTGCAATCTGATTGGCTGAAACTTTAATCAGCTAGAACTCCCTTGGTTTTCAACCAAACGGAGTGGGATTTGGAACATAGATAGATGTAATGGACTTCTACAAGAAGGTATGGTCACCATGCTCATGTATGCACGTGCATGCACGTGAAATGAGTAAAACCAAAAATACACTTGAATGAGCGTATTTTTTAATACTTTTGGATTAAATACTTTAATATTTAGTATATTAAAGTATATAGATTGTGTAGACAAGATGATATGGTCATTACGCACATACATTCACATGCGCACGCGTGCAATGCTAAAATTTGAATTAACTTGGTATCCTTCTGGGTAAACGTTGTTGAAGTATCAAATACATAAAGTTTGTCTTATTTAATGAAGCTAACAGGGAATATGGCACCAAAAGGGAGATGGGGAGCGTTTGGGGAACATCTGTAACGGTCCCCGTTACAATTAGCACTAGTTATGTTCCCCAAACGAAGTTGGGGAACATATTGTTTTTACTCTGTTTCTTATTATTATTATTATTTTTCTTCTCGGGAAAATTTTGTCCGCGAATGATCTAGTAAAGTACACATCCGATTAAGGGGAAACCTTTTTAGGGTAAGTAGGCATGTTATGTAGATTTGCGGAACGAAGGTCATTTTGCGCGCACGTGCTTGCAAGAGCGCGCACGTGCAACACGTGAAATGACCAATATGCTTGAAATTGCTGTAACTTTTACATTTTTCGATGTAATGCTTTGATATTTTGAATATATAGACATATTATAAATGTATATAAGATGACATTGTCAACATGCAATTTGTGTGCACGTGCTTGCAAGAGCGCGCACGAGCAACACGTGAAATGACCGATTTAATTGATATAGGCGTAAATTTTTACCTTTTTAATGAAATGCTTTGAGACTCATAATATAAGGATATAGTAGTAGCATAGACAATATGACATGGTCAAAATAGCAAGATCTCACGCGCATGCACGTGCGCTTCGCTCTGATTGGCTGAAACTAAAGTCTCGATATCTTTCTTGTTTTTTTATGAAATCCTTTGAAATTTTGTACATAGCCATGCATTAGGATATCCTACAACATGATATATAACAATTTTCATGAAAACACGTGCATGCACGTGCGCTGCAATCTGATTGGCTGAAACTTTAATTAGCTATAACTCCCTTTGTTTTCAATCAAACATGATGGGATTTGGAACATAGATAGATATAATACACTTCAACAGGAAGGTATGGTCACCATGCACATCCATACACTTGCGTGTACGTGCGCTGCAATCTGATTGGCTGAAACTTTAAATAGCTATAACTCCCTTAGTTTTCAACCAAACAGGATGAGATTTGGAACATAGATAGATATATTGGACTTCTACAAGAAGGTATGGTCACCATGCACATCCATACACGTGCGTGAACGTACTCTGCAATCTGATTGGCTGAAATTTTAATCAGCTATAACTCCCTTGGATTTCAACCAAACGGAGTGGGATTTAGAACATAGATAGATGTAATGAACTTCTACAAGAAGGTATGCCACCATGCTCATGTATGCACTTGCGTGCACGTGAAATGAGTAAAATCAAAAATACACTTGAATGAGCGTATGTTTTAATACTTTTAGATTAAATACTTTAATATTTAGTATATTAAAGTATATAGATTGTGTAGACAAGATGATATGATCATTACGCACATGCATTCACATGCGCACGCGTGCAAGATGCTAAAATTTGAATGAACTTGGTACCCTTCTGGGTAAACATTGTTAAACATGTTAAAGTCTCAAATGCATAAAGTTTGTCTTATTTAATGAAGCTTACAGGGAAAATGGCACCAAAAGGGAGATGGGGAGCGTTTGGGGAACATCTGTAACGGTCCCCGTTACAATTAGCACTAGTTAAGGTCTTCCGTTTCAGACGGAAGACCTTATAGTGATTCTACTGTTTCTTTTTATTATTATTATTATTTTTTTTTTCCCTTTTTGTTTTCGACGATTTCTCAGAGATGACTGGATGGATTGTCATGAAATTTTCAGAGATGATAGACAATAAAAATATCTTTCAAATGCAGTTTTCAGTTTTTCAAAATTCACTTCCGGTCGTCAGATATGTCCGATTTCCGCTTTTTTCAAAATATTTTTGTCTGAGTCATATCTCAGAAACGGTCACAGATTAGGAAACCAAACTTATATGAGTAATAGATCTTGATTAGTAGGCGAGCCCATTCGGGTTAAAATCGTCCGCCGTCACTTCCGGTCGTCAGAGGAAGTGATCAAAGAAATCGAAAATTTCAATTTTTCTTTAATGAAACTTTTTTTGCATCAGATTATAGCATCTTATTTGTAGTTTTGAAATATATCAGTCTCACCGGAAACAAAAACGACAACTTCCGGTTATGAGAGAAAAACTGCATATTTTCAGTATTTTTCTTTCCCATAAATGTTTTTTATAGATAAAGTATTTGTAATGATTTTTGGGTATGTTATTCAGACTGCAAATGTCTACAGTAACGTCAAATATCTTTGTAAAATTCACTTCCGGTCGCATGATTTCCTGTCCTCAAAATGAGAAGTTATGATATCTTGATCTCGTAAACGTAAAGAGATTAAGACACCAAACTTATACAACTGGTAGATCTTGATTAGGAGGCAAAACCATTTGTGTAAGATCGTCCGCCGTCACTTCCGGTCGTCACAGGAAGTTATCAAAGAAATCGAAAAATTTACCTTTTCTTTATTGAAACTTTTTTTGCATCAGATTATAGCATCTT